TCTCTCTCTCTCTCTCTCTCTCTCTCTCTCTCTCTCTCTCCGGCTGTCGCCCGCACACAAACGCCCGCCGGCGAGCGACACGCTGCATCCGAATCGGGATGGGGAGAAGCGCGGCACCATCGCACCCATGGCGGCCCGCGTTCTTCCATCAAGCGCCGCACGAGGCGTAGAGGACGTTTCAACTCCAAAGTTTTCGACTTGAAGATGACCAAGTCCAAACAGCACAATAAGGCGGCGTTGAGTCAACATACCGGAAGTGATAAGTAGTAATATATTGACACCCCCCCCACCCTCTAAAAAAAAATGTCAGCACAACTACATCGAAATGTCCCTTTTGTTGAAAATGCCCATTTGTAGGAGCTCGTCAAATGAATTTCCTTCAATGTTGTCACACAACAAATGCCTGGCTACGACCGAGCGCAACTTGTTTCCTCATTCCAAGCATGCGGCAGGCAACCTTTTAGTCGTTGGGCACCCCCCCCCCCCGCTCTCTTCTCTGTTTTTCGCCAAAGAACCCATGACACGAATTTGGACGGTTTGACAGAGGGGGGGCCGTACTCGCTTTTGTTGCCACCGGTTGACATCATAATGGCGGCGCGGTGACTTATTTGGACAGTCAATGAAACCAAAGCCGATTTTTCTTTGGACGCCGGCCGCTTCGTTTTTGGTTTCTGTGCTGCCGTCCTCCTCCTGCATGTTTGTTTTGGGGCTCGCGTGGAAGAGAACGGACGGACGACACTGAAGACGCGCAAAAGAAGCTTCGCGTTGCATCCGTGAGACAGGAGAAACCACAAATGCGCCCGAGGGACGGCGTTGAAAACCAAAAATTCAACCTTTTGAAATCGTCGGCGCTGCTTCCGGCGATTGACATGTGAGGGCGGGACTGAAGAGGCAACCCCAAGCAATCCAAACGCGTTTAACGTGCCGCCACCAATCTAAAGGCGTCGCATTCACCGAATAAGAATGAAAGCGACGAATCCATCATCTGATTTGGTCAAATTTCGGTCCCTGTCGTCGTGCCCTACGGCGCCCTCTTCTGTCCACTGAAATTTGCGTGAAAAACCGCCGCCGGGCTGGCGTGGCGAATGTCAGGTGACCAAACTCAGAGAACAGGTGAGTTGTGACGTCGGCAATTTGGGACGATTGGCGGAAAAAAAAAGAATCATCTGAAGAGCGTCTGGAGACGAGAGCTGGCATATCAAGTCGACATATTTGCAAGGAAACTTTTTTTTTTTTCAACTTGAAACATGGCTTCTTCATCCGCACGCCACTTTTTAGCCTTGAAAAAGTTTAGGGTGGTGCTCACTCACCATGCTGAGCCTCCGCTTCGCCCTCCATGGCGACTCACACATCCATGGTCAAAAAGGTCCAACAGTGGCGCCAAGGCAACTTGCGTTCGCCGCGTTTTCCTCTCTTTGTTTTGGCTTTTGCTCGCCAACCGAGCTGCTGCTCCCATTCAACTCACGCGAGTGGTGTGAAAGAAAGACGGGGAGGGAGAGCGAGTCCAGTACAGCGCTGGATTGGAGGGAGGAGGCAAAAATGTGGGGTGGGGGGAGGCGGGGGGGCAGACAGTGAGAGCGAGAGAGAGAGAGAGTTGTGGTTGTAGAGGGGCTTTTTGGCCCAGCGGTTTCAACTCTGAAAAAAAAAAGCTGTGGTCCGAGCAGCCCTTTCCCCCCCCCCCCCCCCTCCGTGGGGAAATTTTGCCGCTGGAAAAGCGTGTCATTTTGGGGTTGTTTGCTGGTGCCGTTTTTGGAATACAAAGGACACGCATGCGCACAGGCTGCCATGTCCAGGAAAATTCAACAAGAGCAGAGAGCTCTACCCTGTATAGCGCTGGTCCCCAAATGGATTTATTTATTTCTTTTTGGGGGGTCGGGGGGGGGGGTGCGGTGTCACGGACCAGTCGAGACGAGTGCACCCAAACCTCCTGTCCGAATCATGGCTGCCCATCAGTTGCGCGTTTAGCTCGCTGTGCCTTTGGTCAATTTGTTTCTCTTACTTTCTTCTTCTTTTCTTTATTGTTGATTTCAACGTGCCAAGCGATGTTCGAACGGGGGAATCCGATTGACTCGGGTGGCGCACCTTTCCGCCATGTGTGATGGAGTCCGTTCGCTGACAGCTGGCAGGTCAGGTCCCAAACGGGCCGAGGCCCGCGACCGTCTTTCGGAACAATTGCAACTTGCAGTTGGGAATGAACAGGCGACTAGAACACCTGAAATAAACTTGGTTGGGGTTAATGTGAGGAAATGGCCGCGGGTGTGTGCTGACTCCCTTTGAACATCAGCTCAAATGGACCCGGACAGTTCTGCGATTGTTATGAATGATATTCAATTGGATCACATTGCTTTCCGTTGAGTCAAATAATCAACATTTTTCAAGGAAATGCACGTTTTCATGACAGGCATGTGAATCGAAGCAATGTTTTTCCACCAAACCACGATGGTGAGAATCTATCCGACTTGCCTTTTCGACTCCATCTCGCTGCGATTCTTTCTCTTGTTCCGCATTCCGGCCGACCGACAGACGTCTTCCCGTTCACAGGCCGGCATTCCCGTGCGTGTGCTTCCCAGCAAGGACATCTCACTTTGGGTTCTCGATGTGGACCCGACTCAAATGCGAGCAATGCGAGGCAGAAGGACTCGCAAGAGCTTCGCTCACTCGTACGGCCTTCGCGATCCCGTCGTCACATTTCAAGGGCTCATTCCAGATCATTGCGGGAATTCGATTTCTTGCTGGATAGGAGCGATTTTGTTCAAGACAAAAAAAAAAACACAACCAAAAACACACCACCACCACCAGCAGCACAGCGGCAAGCGAGTGGGTGCTATTTCTGTGAATAAATGGCTCCCTCTATTGGTCAGGAGGTGCATACCAGCTTTGAGGATGACTTCAACGAGCCGATTTAATATGCTGGTCACGTTCCGGGCTCCTGTTGTTCCCATACCGAAAAAAAGAGAACCTACGTTGCCACGTTGAAAGATTTCTCCAAATCAAGCGAGTGGCATTTGGTGAATTGCGGAGAATCTCCGCAATTGATTCACCGATGAATAATGAGCAGCATTCATCGATCAGAATGTTTTGAACTCGCGATTGTTTGTCCTACGTGAGGTGGTGCGTGGCCGCCTCATAGTGCACAGGGCTTGCCTGCCTGTGTGGAGTTGGCATGTTCTCCCCGTGCGAGTGTGGCTTTTCTCCGGGTACTGCCTGCGCCGGGAGCGGCGGAAGGATGCGGCTACCTGTTCTTCATTCATGAGCGCGGCTCGGCCACGTGACAGCCGGTGTGGCGACCGGCGTCGGACCTCTGCAAAGAAAAGTCAACTTGATCAGACGATCGTTTCATTGACAACCCCCGCATCCAACCGCTTTGCCGCGTGGCGTAGCAGGCCTTCGAATGTGCGGCCGCATCCACTCCAATTTGCAATTCAATGACGGCGGCGGTACAAGGGGAGACGTGCGCTGCTATTCGTTGGCCTTGTGTTTCTGTGTGTGTGTGTGGTACTGTCACGCGTGAGCGCGCTCCGTGCTACGCCGTGTGCGAAAGATAAGCCGTGTTCCAAACAGATCGCAGATTGCCGGCCTCACCGTGCATCTGCATGCATTCGGCCACCGCAGCCTCCCGGTGGTCGATTTTTAGTTGTTATGGTTTTCTGCCCCCTTAAATTTGTATTTTGTTCTAATTTTTTTTTGCAAGTCCTCCCGAGAGTTGTGATGACGGATTTGTGTGTTTGACTTTTGGCCCTGTTCAATAAATGACTGAAATTACATCGGCGACTGCTGTGGTTTTGCGGAGGGGCCACAGTGAAGGGGAGTGAGAGGAAAAAAAAAACCCAAACAAAACAAAAGTCTTTGTAACCTGTGTATCAAAGACAGTTTAATCTAATTATTTGTGAGTCAACGTTTGCAAACGGTGAGGGCCATTTTTTCAACTTTGTCAGCCTGCTCCAAAAAGATAAGATGAGGTTAAAAAACAACAACAACAAAAAAAGAAAACAAAATCCGTCCAATGGCGTCATCTTGCCACACGGTTGCGCCTCATTGAGTGAACGGCAGAGGGCGCCACAGCCTCAATGTTTGCACACCAACCAAGATGCAAGATGGCCGTTCTCAGCGACTGGGCGTGACAACGGAGCCTTTCGACAAACCAAAGGGTGTCAATTAGGTCTTCAAAGTTCAGGTGAACAAGCGTGGCTTGCAAACGTCAATGACTAATTCGTCTTGAAAGTCATAGTTTACTGACATGAAAGACAGATGAGGATTTTCAACAAACGGCACTTTGAGCAAGCCGACGAAGGACTTCTTTCTTCAATAAGCACAACTTAGGCGGTGAGTCGTTCACAAACCCGATGCACACGTTTGTAAACAACAACAGAACATTTTGGGTTTTCAAGAATCGAACGTAAACTTTCAGGATGATTGTCGAGTCTGCCAAGAATTTAACATTCATGATTTGAAGACAGGGGGGGACAGTTTTTGACTTCAGTTGACTCCAAACAACAAAGACCGATTAGAGTCAGAAGTAAGGCATTAAAGACAGCTTAGAGCAGTCTACAGAAAAAAGGATGCCTTCAACAAGCTGAAATGATGGAATTTTATGAACCCGAAGGATCATGTCATCTTACAAGAACCTTCCTGAAGTTATTTTTTTGTAAACGTCAAAAATAAATTTTGTTAACTGACTAGTGTTTTGTGAACATTGAGGAAAACAATCCGAACGTTGAGCATCAGGGAACATAACGCGTTAAACACCATCGACACTTTTTAGAGTCTTCATTCATTCATAAAGATGAGAGACAGAGAATTTTGAGACAATTGACCCAAGACTGTGTTGCTGTAGCTACCAGGATATCCATACGGGGGCGCTGTTGCTCCATGCATTTTCCCCTCCTTTTTCTTTCTTTTTTTTTCAACGAAAAATCAGTGGACTGTTCATTTAGTAGATGTCAAAAGAAAAAAAAAGGTAAATGCGACAAGGTGAGATGCATGACTCATCTCGCTCTCGCCTTCACACAGCCGAACGGGGAATGGCACAGGCAACAGGGGGCGCCATATTCATCCCATCATTTTCAGTCTTCGGCTTTGGATTCAGCGTGAGACTTGAGGTGAGTTGGACCGTTTTCGTGCTTTCCACGGTCTTTGTTCTTCATTTTATTGATTGCGTGGTGTTGTCAGAATTCTTTTTGCTCCATGTACTGTACAGCGCTTTGCCGACAGCGCTGGTTGTTTTCGAGTGCTCTGGAAAGGCAGCTGAGTTGAGTTGACAATGATCTTTCCTGCGAGCCTCACGTCAGCGTCAAAGACCATCAACAAACTCAATGTGCATGTTTCTGTAAACATCAACTCCACTCAAGTGTATTTCTCGAGCACATTGAAACAACCAGCGCTGCCTTCAAAGTGCTGTATACGGAGCAAAGATCATATATACAACAATGAAGCCCATTACTTCTCGAACATTTGTTTTTGGATAATGTCTTCAACTTGACTGCCTGGTTTTTCCTCACCGTCAAAAACACGCGGGCTCAACATGCAGTCCAGTCCGTGCTTTTTGTAGACTTGGAGAGCGCTCGGTTGCATTTGTCCGACTTTTCGCGGCTGACTCTCTGGCCTGATATGGCATTGTCACGTCTCGAAATGGCAAATCTCCCGTCTGACAAGCAGAAATGAGAGCGAGGAAGAAGGTGGGGCCGGCGGGCCAAGAAAAAGTCCCCCGGAGTAATGAAAGCTCTCCCCTCTCGGAGGTCAGACAAACAGCCTATCTTGTCATCTTCCCCATTCCGGTCTTCTATCGCCACCTCCTTTCTTCCCCTCTGCTCTCAAAGTCACAACAAGAGCAGAGCACGCCGAGGCCATTTGTCAGAAAGGGAATGCCGCGCTGTTTATTTCTCCCGCCGACTCCCCGGAGAAAAGAAAAGATTAGCTAAGTCAAGTATTTACGTCGGCTTAGCAACCGAGGCAAAGTGTTCATATCCGAGAGCGCGAGTAAAGCATCGGAAAGCCCTTCTCTCGCCGGGAGGAGGGAGTGAGGGCAAAACAAAAAAAAGGGGGAAAAGTACAGGAAGGAGCATTGCCTTCCCTGACAAAAGCTTGAAAGAGCAGGAAAGCGAAAAAATCCTCCAGCAATCCTTGCGGACAAAAATAAATAAATTAAAAAGGAAGCCGGCCTTTTCCATCCTCTTTTCCCAGACTTCTTGGAAGCTGCCACAAAAGGTGCCAGAGAGCACGCGCGCGCATGCACGCGCACACGAAAAGCCTCTCACATTCAACAGGAAACTCGCATGTGAAATGCAGAACAAAAAACTCGCAGGCACACAACCCTCTTAGAAGGCAAATGGATGCAAATGAAGGGCTTGATAAGGAAACAGCCAGCGTGCTTCTTGGACCTGATCAGCAGCTTGATCAATAAGCGGCTCAATCTCCAAGGGAAGGGGTTGCGATGATCGGGTCACCGGGGTCCGAAAAAAAATGGGAAGGGTGCGTCTGTTTCGTCCCCGCCCGCCTCTGTTGAAAAAGTCAAGGAAGGAGCCAAACGGCATCACGCACGGATTAGGGCGTGATCACCAACGGAGCTTTGTCAGCAACGTCAAAGACCTCATGGTCAAATGTCGAAAAAGGGACATCTTTGCACTGGTGAAATGGATTCTGTGTTCACGGTCACCTCATCGCAGGTTTTCCCTTCCTCTATGCCAAGCTTGGGTTTTTTTTTTTTTTTCTTCATGATCTGGATTCTTAACGAGACAGATTTGTGGCTCGTCACGATTAAAAGTGGACAGCCGGACGATGGAAAAGTGCAAACGTAGCTCTGCTAGCGTGTCGCTTTTCAACACGGTCGGTCTCGTTTGTTGAAAATGTGCCAGCGCGGCGTTATTGGCAGAGAAGGGCCCCGTTTTTGCAGATATGACGCTTGACCTCAAGGCGGCGCCGTGCCGCGACTCTCCCCGAATTGAAGTGGCGAGCTGAGCGGGCAGATAATTAGCAATGAATTCAGCCACTAATGGCGATATTTGCTCGAACCTCTTCAGTGGCTCGCTCGCTCTGTGGGCATGGCTGGAGATTTATGTCGGGATAACAATAGTAGCTCCAGTTGCTGAGATCAAACGATTTTATTTCGGTTGTAACCAGGAGAAGAAGTGGCAGTGAAGGAGGCGGGGGAGTGTGGGGGGGGGAACCTCTTCTGGGAACGCTGTTCCAGATTCTGATATCCACTTTGCTTTGTCTCTCTCTCCCTTGGCCCTTTGAAAGATTTAGTAGGAATTCTGGGCTAACATGCCGACAATTGCCGCGTTCCCCCGTTTTCCCCGAGAGGCGTCCGTCCGTCACGCGGCCAACATCTGGATGCGGACGCGCCGGATGGCCGCGCCGTCCCGAGGGGCGGCTTCCTGCCTTCCGTCCCTCGCCCCGCGGAGACCGCCCTGTCCCTCGCGCCACAAATCCACCCGTCCGTCTGTCTGTACCCCGTGGGCTCGCGGGGCGGGGCTCGGCTGGGGCCAGTCTGCCTTTCTGGGCAAAATGTCGGCAGCTGGGCGGGTTCCTCCAAACGCGGGCCAAGGTTAAGCCGATGGACATAATGCCGCGCGAGCCCTCCGTGCGGCCTTTGAGCCCATCTCACCTGCAAGCGCCCCGCAGCGCGCCCTCGCCTTGTTAGGGCACTCGCGCCATACGACGGCCTTTGTGTTCGCTATGCTAATGCGTGCCCTCTTCTCCATATCGATGAGAGCGGGAGAACAAGCCGACAGATGGCCGGGGGGAAGCGGGAGGCAGCGAGCGCAAAACGGGCCGCCGCCACCGCCCATCTTCACGTCTCCCTTTGGGAATTGGAGATTCACAAGATTCTGGTTCACACTTGTTGGAGCTGAAGGCGAGCCTTCATTTCCAGCATGGCTCATCTTTAAAAGTCAAAGGCGACCCGAGCGTGATAACGTAGGCTAGCGAAACCAGGGAAGCTTCGCCAAACGCGGCCTTGAGTACAAGAAGTAGCCGAGCATTAGCCGAGTGTAGCATGATGATTCATGCCTTTGGCCACCTGCGAAACCCCCAACGGGACCCCCCGCAGAAGATCATTAGTCTGCTTGTCATTGCGAACGCTATGACGCCAGAGACTTTTGCAACAAAGCCGGCATATTGCTGCAATATTGCTCCTGTGGAGATAATGCGGCAGCGGCGGCGGCGGCGGCGGCAATGGAAGCGGCGCGATGAGTCCCATTGATTTCCACTCAAACCCGAAAATTGTCACAGCGTCTGGACAAATTGCAGACAGAGTGAGACGGGCCGACTGACTCTCTCTCTCTCTCTTTCGTGTCCGTCGCTTGTCAAAGATGTTTGCGTTTGGGGCAGCGCAGCCTTTCTGCTCATAACCGCGGCAGTTGACAACATTGCGGCTTGTCGAAATCGCCGTTGATATCGACATTGGCTCCGATGAATACGAGCGCTCCAATCAGATCGTAGCGCGTCCGTGGATGACGGCTCAAATTTCGCGTCATGCTTTTATCGAAGGTTTCCAAATGTCGAATAAATGATTTCCGGGCTGGCTTACGAAACATCTCTCCAGAGACTTTTCCGCCATGTTTATTAATGTGCATTGACTCCGCTCAATCAAACAACAAATCGAAAAATCACACGGGCGGCCGGATCTGGACCTGTTCAGCCGAGACAACAAACCCCGCATCATAATCTCAAGCCCCTTTTTGATGCGACCAAAGCCGTCCGACACGCCGAAAACGTTAGCGCCCGCATTGATTTGCCTCCGGGGACCAGACGGACTTTGTCGAAGCGGGGCGTGGCCTCGGTGCGATCACGAGACGTCCGACGGGTGGCGTCGGACGGAATAACGGCCCTGCCGCTCTGGTGACTGATGCGCAATTCTCCACTTTATCCCGGTGCCCTAAATAACCTTCAAATGACTTCACAGTCCAATCGGTGCTGTCTTCGTCACACAGTTTGTTACCAGCCACCCCAAAGAAAGTCGACACTCAAGGACTTGGAAGCGAGGCCTGATAAATAAAGGATGGATGCTGCTGATATCTCGCCTGGAAAGCCGCTTGGCCCTGTCAGCGCGGCAGGCGCTTGCATCAGTCTTCGCTCTACCTGCAATGCTGAGAAGAGGATTAAAGGTGAAGAAGAACAGCCAGCGGGGCGGAGAGGAGGAGGAGGAGGAGAAGAAGAAGAAGAAGAAGAAAAAAAAACAAGCGCAGCCATCCTTTGGTAATCCACCAGCTGGATCTTCACAGAGGATTAGGAGACGATAAATCTTATTCGCTTTGGTCGATAATGACTGTGATCTTGGGGTCACGGTGGGTCGCTCGGTGCGCAATGCGGCTTGTGACAAATGTACATTTGCATTCCGCTTACGGGAAGAAAAAAAATGTGACGGCTCATGTTGTCACACGGGGCCGAAAAAATAGATTGCGCACAAGCGGCCGCTGCGCATGAAAGGAGCGCGCCGCTCACGACGGTGCGCTTGTTTTCTTCCAAACTTGCGAGGTCCCGCCGGGCTTGTGTGCCGGGCTCTTCTCAGGGCGCCCGCTCCATTGGACGGATCGACACCGAGGCCTTTCGAGAGACTTTGTGATTTGAGATAAAAATGCGCCATTCGAGCTACTCAAAGAGCAGAGGAGGCAAAACTCCAAACCTGCGTGTATTGATTGACTTTTTTAGTGAACAAGGCAGGGCAGCTTTCAGCAACTCCTCCTCCGATCGCACATCGGTGACTCACCCCCCCCCCCCACATCTGGCAGGAGCGTCGACAGAAATCCGACTCCTGAGAGATGCGCAGCAAAACTTGCGACATTGTGCAACCGACGACCCGGTGAGGTGAGAGCAGATGCTGTTGTGGCAACTCCGAAAAGATTTGCCATCTGGCCTTGTGCTGAACTCGCCTTTCTTTCATCAAGATGCTGGAAAGTTGTTGCTTTCCTGTGTGACTTGCAACCGTGTTTGTCATGTGTTGCTTCACACTTTCGTTCAAAAATATTGTTCAGGATTCTCGCGCCTTATTTACCGGAAAGCAAAAAAAAAAAAAAAAAGATCTATATCGGCTAGTTGCTGTAAACGTCCAAGAAACTGTCAGTATCTTCATCAGAGTTGTATGTAACTTGACCGTTCCTTC